CTTTCTTTGCGTGAACATTTGGGCGGTATTATGCAAATCTTCCCAGACAGTGACGTAGACATCTATTCACAAACAGCTTGTAACACTCCAAAGAGAAAGGAAAACTTGAAATTGCATCATATGACCCCTTTATGTCGCTTGGGTATATTTTTAGTAGGGATGCACCGATACCACTTTTTCCAGTACTCACCCGATACGATACTTTTTGGTACTAGCCGGTACTGAGTACCAAAAAAAGATATGTAATATTAGAGGACACCGCCAATGGTCCACGTCCTCAGTTAGTATGAGGTTTTATTTTTCATTTACCTTGTCAGCCATCATCTGAAGAAATACATCAAAGACCTTGTCACCCACCACAATGACACACTGCATCATTCCTGAGATGAGGAACACAATCACAGCAAAGCTGTCAAATAAAATTATCTATTGAGTATATAAAGTATTTGCTAAACTTGAATCTTAAGACAAGACCCTATAGGTGAATAGGGCACATTTGAACTAATAGATATCATAAAACTTTAACTAAGTGATTAATCACAGCACATTAAGAATTGAAATTTTGTATTGCAAGTTTTCTGAAATGTTATTTTTAAATGAGCAAATTAAGAATTATATCACTGAAAAATGTCCTGATTCATTCTCACCATGTTTTTAGGAATAAAAATGTTATATAAATCAGGGAATGATATATGATTAAGCTACACTTCAGAATATAGACAGGAATACAACGTATCTGTAAAGTTTGGTGCAAGTGCTAGTGAAAAGGAGAAAACAACTCATTTTGAGACAACAAAGTCATGAATCATAAGTCGTCTTAAATCATCCAGAAACAGATGAATGTTCTAGCCCACCTGATTTATCCTTCTGGATCGCTCGGTCCTCAAAATATTGAAACATCACTTGAAACCGATCAGAATCCAGTGAGCGTAACACCCTGAGAAGATACAAGCGGTCATGTTCAAGCAAAGAGCCACACCAGTCTAAAACAGACCAGCATTTACTCACGTACCTCATGTATTCCAGTCGGTAAACGGACAGCAGGTAGGTGGACAAGGCAAACTCCAGTTTATTGATGAGCGCAGCGACCTCCGGCGGAGGATCCAGCAGGTTAATTATGGTGCCTCTCAAATCATTCAGCTCAGCCTAGAAACACAATGCATCCAGTTCAATTTACAGGGTGAAACTGGTGAATTTCAGCGATCATGCTGGACAAGACAACAGTATACAATTTCAAAGACAAAATACACAATGACAATAATATACCCAATGACCTGAAGGATCATGTGTGTTCATTCAAAGAAAGGTTTTCCTATTAATTAATTAGCAAAGAAAAGTCCTTCCCTTGTGGATTTTCCTTATGGGCAAGGAAGCGACCTTCTTCACCTAAATTCCAGGAGGTCGCAAATGTATCGGGTGTCGGCATTGCTATAGAACCAGGGGCCTGTTCAGCTTCCTGGGGTGTTACAGAGTATTTGTTAAATCTAGCTAACAAAATATGTATTGTGTGTTTGAGTGGTCCAGACGCTACATAAATATATACTGGGGGTGGGGAGCCTTTAATATATAGCCTATGTTGTGCTCAAGCGCATACATAAAGCTTGCCACAAAGCACTGCAAAAGTAATGACTATGTGTTAGGAAAAATAGCAAGAAGTAATTACCTTAAGGACCAGCCACAGACATGGACAGTTTTTTCCTGCAACTAACCAACTAATACAATTTCAGTCGACTAAGCCTCTTCTTGTTGACTAATGTTTAGTCGTCTATTAGGGGGCAGCCTAATATAAACTCACAATTCAGAGAAGAAAATTTTGGGATATAAAATCACAATTGCTATTAAAAAAAAAGTCAAAATTGTGAGATATAAAGTTGTAATTACCTTTTTTATTTTTTATTCCATGGCGGAAGCAAAAAACTAGAATTGAGAAATGTAAACTCAGAATTCTGAGGAAAAACGTCAGAATTGCAATAAATTCTGCAATAAATGCAAAATCGTGAGCTGTAAATTCAGAATTGTGAGGGGAAAAAAATCTGAATTCTGAGTTTATATCTCATACTTACAACTTTTTTTCTCAGAATTGCGAGACTGAATTGTGAGATAAAAAGTCGCAATAACCTTTTTCTTTTTTTTTTTGATGGTGGAAACGGGCCTCTATAGGATAATGACACTATTGTCTTCTGTATAGCTGCTTTATAGTTTAACTGAGTTTGCTTCATAATTGATCACATTTTGCAACATTATTTTCCTGTTTATCACTGTGAAGCTGCTTTGAAACTATCTGTATTGTATAAAGCGCTATAAGAAAAAATGTCAAATCAGACAAAATTTTCTGTCTGATTTGGTGAAGCAGGGAACAATCCATCTTTTATATCAAGAATCAAACTGATTTAGCTGTACCGAAGTGACCGTATCGTTCTTCAGGGCAGAGTTATACTGCAGTTCTGAGCGCAGCGGTTCTCCGCTTGGGAACATCAGCAGGGGGGATTTGGTTGCGATCTCACACACTCCCTCATACCACTCCTCCGGCCACAAACCTGAACGTGAAAGATGACAAAATCAGTCAATATTCAGATCAATATTCAGACCTACAAATTGGATGGCTTATGCTAATCTTTTATTTAATATTGGGTTATTTTGAACACAGAAATAGTAGCAGTATTATTACAGAGCTTCCTTCTGTCATATATAACTACGATTAGGTATTTTTAGCTGGCAGTCATTTTTATCATACATATTGTTCAATCTTAAGAAAATAAAAAGCTACAAATATGTTGACTTATATAAGTGATTTATAAATGACAATTATCTGACCTGAGCCCTCAACAGTGAAGCCCATCACAACCGAATACAGCCAGAAATCTCTGAACAGCTTCTGCAGTCTCGGTTTGGCCTCTTTTATGGGCGGCAAACGTTTGGTCAGCTATAAAATAAAAAAAAAAGCAGACAGATGAAATTATGAACAGCTTGACACAATCAGGTAGTAACCAAAATTATTATATGTGGAGAGTAAAATAAAGCGTATAAAATTTTTATTTCAAAAGTTTTACACCAAAACAGACTGATTTTGCAAATTTTACTTAAGCATTAAAAATGTCCAAATCTGGGTTGCATTTATTTGATTACAAATACAGTAAAACACTCATATTTTGAAATGTTATTTTAATATGTAATTTATTTCCATGATGACAATGCTGAATTTATGACCGTCATAAACAAAAATAATAGTGCTGGGCAACGATTAAAATGTTTAATCCCGATTAATCGTATTGCTATGCACAAAATTCAATAATGAATTAAAAAGTAGTGTATTTTGCACGTTTTCATTTAAAAGTACTGCTATATGAACAAAAGTGTAATTACACTTGGTTTGCAAACACTTTAAACAAATAAGGTGCTTTTTTAGAGCAGTATTCCTTTTACATAGTAGCAATTTAAATATTTCTTGTAGATCTCAACTTATAACATTAATGTAATCAAATTAAATATAAAACCAAAGCTATTTGCCACTGCCAGGGCATTAACGTTTTATAGAAAATATTTTATAGTTTGTTATAGAAAAACAACATTATAACAGGCACCTTCCAAGTAGAGACCTGCACTATCGCAGGACAACACTTGATGGGCGGGTGCAGGTGCGGGTGGGTAGAGACTCGTGTGTGCCGGATGCGGAAGAATATGTGTGTACTACTCACACTTGGCAATCTTAACAGTGCCTGAGAGCGTTTGACCCCCAAATCCTGGTTCGTTTAACTAGTGTGATCGCTCCGTTCCGCGCTCGGGCGCGGTTCGTTTAGCCGGCCCTAGCTCGGTTGGAAGAGGTGGGCCAGAGTGTGGTTCAGTTATATATAGATCAGTGAGTGAGAGCGGAACTTCTGATACGTGCAGCATGATTGCGTGAACATTTCTGAGCAGCAAGAGTGATAGATCTGTAAAGCAATATATTGTGAGAGGGCCGTGTGTTACCGCGTCCCAAACGACTCAAAATAATAAACCAGAAAGTTAACAAAACTATGCACTCCACTGTGCTGAGCGAGAGCGCTTCTCTGCCTTCATGTGCTATCGGAAGCTTCCTATTTCCCACTTATGAAGTCATGATTATGTGCACGTTGCACTCTTTTTTGTTAAAAATAACAGTGAACAGTGGTTTGTGAATGCTGATGCTTAGCCTAAATAATTTTATCGGGAGCGTTCATGTGAGCGCTGCTGCAAATGCTCTCATTGGTTGAGACGCGTGATGACGCCCATCCCAATCCAGTACTGATCAACATCCCACCCCTCCTGTGACCCATGGTTTGTCTGTATGTGAATTCAGAGCCAGTGAGCAACGGACTTTCAAAATAATAATAATAAAAACTGCGTTAATGCGTGATAAAATAATTGTCGCCGTTAATTAATTCATGCGTTATATATGCGATAATAACGCGTTAACTTGCCCAGCCCTAAAAAATAACAAATTATTGCTATTTCGTCACAGGAATAAATTACCTTTAACAAGAAACATAGAAAACAGTCTTCAGTTGTAATAGTATTTCACAATATTACCGTTTTTTGCAGCCCTTGTAATAAAATAAAAAATGTTGTGGGGCACAGTAAAAAACAAACTTAGCAAACAAAACATTATTTTTTTTCATTCATATAGATTTTTGGTTCAATAAAAAAGTTGGTTAAAAAGTAAAACAGTACCTATAAAAGTTTCATCTTTATGCACTCAACTAATTATTAATTTCTAAATCATGAAATGAATATTAACAGAACCATTTTTGTGTCACATTTGCAGAAATGCCATTCTCTTACCACAGCAATGACAGGAATGAGAACTCCTAAATTACCAGCGCTGCTGGACGCCTGAGGAAAAATGAACATAAGAAACATTCAAAAGCAGAAACACTACATTACTCAAATACTCCATTTGTGAGCCTGGAGCACAAAAGCAGTGTTAAGTCGCTGGGGTATATTTGTAGCAATAGCCAACAATACATTGCATGGGTCAAAATGATTGATTTTTCTTTTATGCCAAAAATCATTAGGATATTAAGTAAAGATCATGTTCCATGAAGATATTTAGTAAATTTCCTACCGTAAATATATCAAAACTTAATGTTTGATTAGTAATATGCATTGCTAAGAACTTCATTTGGACAACTTTAAAGATGATTTTCTCAATATTTAGATTTTTTTTCACCCTCAGATTCCAGATTTTCAAATAGTTGTATCTCGGCCAGATATTGTCCTATCCTAATAAACCATACATCAATGGAAAGCTTGTTTATTGACCTTTATAACTGGTTTTGTGGTCCAGGGTCACATTTTAGCTAGATATTTCATGACTTTTCCACTGTTGCAAATCCTATTACAGCACTGACACTACTGTTCTGCTCTGAATTCAAACAATCCTTCCTGTTGCAACTTTTAGCAGACCACACTGCATTTCTATAATTCCTCTTTAATCCTTATATAACATTTACAATGTCCCATATAATGAATGCTAGATGTGCTGTACATCGCATGCTTGTCCTACAATGAAGTAGAGAAATATAATGTGAAGATTCGGTACCTTGAGGGCCGGGCCCTTCTCACTGGCTCTTTCGCTGGCTCGTTTCCCCTCCAGCCCCAGCTGCACAAACAGCTCCAGCAGATTCACCAGCAGCTCATCCACCATCTGCTCTGTCTGCAGGTTTGCTGCGATGTTGGCCAGAGCGTTGATCACGGCCAGAGAACAGTGTCTGCATAAACACAACCAAACTGAGCAAAGATAAAGATGCAATTGACAAAATGAAACAGTACAGCAATGCATTTATAATCTCTCCCGACTTACTGAATTTTCATATATACACACACATACATACATATATATATATATACATACATACATACATACATATATCTTCATGTGTATGTAGTGTATAAAGGGCCATAATACAGTATATAATAGTTTTTTTTTTATGTTTTTAAGAGAAGTCCCTTTACTGTTCACCAAGGCTTCATTTATTTGATTAGTAAAAACTGTAACATTGTTAAATAGTATAATAATTTAAAATAACTGTTTTCTAGTTATATATAATTTAAAATGTAATATATTCCTCTGATGACAGCTGAATTTTCAGCAGTCAAATAAAATAACATATTAAAATCGAAAACTATATTATACAATATTAATGTTACTTTAGCCTCGGTGAGCATAAGGGACTACTTAAAATAAATAATTAAATAAAATAATAATTATTATTATTATTATAATATTTAATATTATTTGTTTGGTTTATTGTGTTAATTATGTATATTAAAATTATTTATTATTATTACTAATTTTTGTTGCTGACATTGTTGTTTTTACATTGATCACTTGGCAAGTAAATTTAATTTAAAAAAATGATGTGACATTTCTGAGTGAAACAGAATATTCAGGATAATAAGGGCAGAGCTTGATTTATTATAGTGCGATTAATATGATTTTTCTCCATCCACATACCCTTGGTAACATCAGCAGAAAGGAAAAGTCGTCAAGCCTAAAAAATCCACTGTAAATCATCACCTGTATCCATGATCCTTGTAGTCTTTGGTGGAGTAAACCATCGAGCTGGCCTTCACACTAATCTGCTGGAACAAGTTCCAGACTTCCTGATAAATGTATTGCTGTGCGAGACAAACAGAAAGGAAACTTTAGCACCAGCAGGCCGATCAAAACAATCCCTGTGACAGAAGACGGAAATGCTGGCGTACGTTTCCTGTGATGACCATACAGCCCAGCTGATCTATGATGAGGACGTCGAGCTGAGACGGCGGCTGGCAGAACTTCTGCTGCAGGATCTGTAGAATGGGCTCCATCACGCGGGGAGTGTCTCTCAGAGCCACGGCGATGTGCCCTAATGCTCGTATGGTGTGATCAGGGATGAGGTGGGCGTCCCTGTGGGGAAGGGACACAAATAATGTTTTAGTGATTCCCTTAAAAATAATAAAATGTCCCATTTTCTTAAATTCCACTTGAGAGATTCAGAATAAGAATGAAAGACTTTTAACTATTTAATGACCAATAAGAATGAATTTTGGATCAGGATGCATGATATGTGATTTATTGTCAGATTTCAATAACATACTTGTCATTTTCCTGCGAGATGTAAAGACGGTTGGAAAGACTGGCTAGAAAAGCCTCAACGATGACTGAGTCCATGGACAACCCTGCGTTTAAACACCTGGAATAACAAAAAAAGTCCCTTAATAGTGACTAGTAACTTCTTAGAACTGTGGTGAACTAAATGAAAAACTGCAAAGTTATACTATAGACTGTCAAAGTTCAGGTTATAGCCTAAATCCCAATTCTCATTAGTACTTAAAATATTTACCACCATGATGATGGTACAGTACTTACACTACCGTTCAAAATATTTCTTAATGTTTTTGAAACAAGTCTCTTCTGCAAGACAAACTTTTAACATACTATGATTTGGAAAAAACTACTCCTAAACTCATATATGTGACCCTGGACCACAAAACCAGTCATAAGGGTCAATATTTTTAAATCACCATCTCAAAGCTGAATAAATAAGCTTTCCATTGATGCATGGTTTGTTATGGTAGGACAATATTTGGCCGAGATACAACTATTTGAAAATCTAGAATCTGAGGGTGCAAAAAAACTTTAATATTGAGAAAGTGCCTTTAAAGTTGTCCAAATGAAGTTCTTAGCAATGCATATTACTAATCAAAAATGAAGTTTTGATATATTCACAGTAGGAAATTCACAAAATATCTTTATGGAACATGATCTTTAGTTAATATCCTAATGATTTTTGGCATATAAGAAAAATCTATAATTTTGACCCATATAATGTATTTTTGGCTATTGCTACAAATATACCCCAGCGACTTAACACTGCTTTTGTGGTCCAGGATCACATATTGTATAGGACAGATATGATGTAAATTATGTATAAGAACTAGGCATTACTTTCAGCTGAAAATAATTTCATAGGAATAAATGAGGTTTACATTTACATTTACATTTAGTCATTTAGCAGACGCTTTTATCCAAAGTGCCTTTAAAGTTGTCCAAATGAAGTTCTTAGCAATGCATATTACTAATCAAAAATGAAGTTTTGATATATTCACAGTAGGAAATTCACAAAATATCTTTATGGAACATGATCTTTAGTTAATATCCTAATGATTTTTGGCATATAAGAAAAATCTATAATTTTGACCCATATAATGCATTTTTGACTATTGCCCAGCGACTTAAGACTGGTTTTGTGGTCCAGGATCACATATTGTATAGGACAGATATGATGTAAATTATGCATAAGAACTAGGCATTACTTTCAGCTGAAAATAATTTCATAGGAATAAATGAGGTTTACATTTACATTTACATTTAGTCATTTAGCAGACGCTTTTATCCAAAGCGACTTACAATTGGGGGATACATAAAGCGATTCTTCTTAAAGAGGCAAACAGACACAAGAAGTGGTTGTAATACCAAGTTCTTAGACATTGTTCAAATAAGTACAAGCTAGAAAGAGAAGGAATAAATAAAGAGAGAGATACTTTTTTTTTTTTTTATGATGAAGTCAAGTAGCTTCGAAAGAGATGAGTTTTCAGCTGTCGCTTGAAAATTGTCAGGAAATTGTCAGGTTTACCTGCATATATTGTCGATGGAAATGTCTCGGAGCTGCTCATACATGGATGGCTGGGTCTTCATACTGGGGTGAGAACTAAAGGTGGACTGGGAATGTTCATTGGTCACGTGGATCTTGATCTCTCCTGTTCCTGTTTAGTGGGAAATGGAGTTGGACTACTCGCACTGATTCAAATGTTTTTATTCTTAAAGGAATAGTTCACCCAAAAATGAAAAATTGCTGAAAATGTACTCACTCTCAGGCCATGTGAGATGCGGATGAGCTTGTTTCTTCATGAGAACAGATTTGGAGAAATGTAGCATTACATCACTTGCTCACCAATGGATGCTCTGCAGTGAATGGGTGCCGTCAGAATGAGAGTCCAAACAGCTGATAAAAACATCACAATAATCCACACCACTCCAGTCCATCAGTTAACATCTTGAGAAACGAAAAGCTGTGTCACAAGTCACAAATACATCAAAATATTTTTAACTATGAACTATTAATTCTGGCTAAAATACGAGTCCATAATCCATAATATTGCTTTCTTGATTGAAAAAGTTGTCTCATCTGAATCAAGAGAGTAATATGCACAGCACCGTTTAGAAGTGAAAACAGTTCAAAACATAACCAAATATGTTGTTGGATTTTGATGTGAGAGAACAACAGAGAATGAACGTTTTCACTGGAGCAAGCGTTATTATGGATAGAGGACTCATATTTCAGCCAGTATTTTAGGTTAACGTTTTAATGATGGATTTGTTTCTTACAAACACACAGCTTTTGGCTTCTCAAGATGTTAAGTGGTGTGGGTTACTTGTGGATCATTGTGATGTTTTTATCAGCTGTTTGGACTCTCATTCTGACGGCACCCATTCACTGCAGAGCATCCATTGGTGAGCAAGTGATGCAATGCTACATTTCTCTAAATCTGTTCTCATGAAGAAACAAACTCATTTACATCTTGGATGGCCTGAGGATGAGTAAATATTCAGCAAATAAACGCAGCATAAATCTAGATATCAAAGATATCAAGGGAAGGATCTCACCTGTGGTGTACTGACTGTGGTATTTGTAGAGCTTCACTAGTACAGGTGAAGGTACCACTAGGAAATCTCTTAAAGACATGGTGACTGAATGAGCCACCACAGGGAAACGCTCACACAACCGTCCGAGACCCTGTTCCACGAAACGCCATAAATGATGCATTTTACCCCTAAATGTTCAAAATGAATTTCTTCAGTGCATTTTGAGCGGGGCAGAACTCTGGACGCACCTGTAAGCAGCAGATGAGCAGAGGCATGTGAGCGATGATGACCTTACTGGACGTCTTGGACTGCAGCTTCTCGGACAGTTTTGTGCAGAGGTTTTCCGCACCTGGCAGAAACAACCCAAAAAAATGAACGGTTAGAGAAGTCACATGACACATATGTGAAGCACATAATACCAGAATCCTCTCAGAGTCTCACCCTGCTCCTCTGTGACGGCCCACACCATGAGGTCCACGCAGGCAGCGTTGGCCTGGCAGCGCAGTTTGAGCAGGTTCAGCTCGCTGTGCAGATACTCCACGTCATGCAGGATCCTCTGCAGCTCAGACTGACTGCTGCTGAACTGCTCCAGAACAAAGTCATGAACCTCCTTCACGAACGACACCTGCAGGTCTGTGCACATCAAACCATCACATAACAGCATAGCAAGAGTTCCTAAAACTAGAAACTAGAGTTACTGAAAGCCATATGTCTGAGAGATGTTAAACATCGGTGTGAAATTTAGTGGCTTACCTGATTTGGCTAATACACTGTAGAAAAATATATTTTCTTTTTATTTATTTTTCCTAAACTTTCTATTCCAATTACCTAAAAATGTAAACCCTTTTTCTACTAAACATTTAAATATTTTGATGCCAGATTTTGTTTGTAATAAACCGTAATTAGATTTTATTTATTTGTTGTTATAATAGTAAATATAACTCATTAATAATAATTATATTTTTATTAATTTATTAATAATTATTTTTTATTTTTAATACATTTTAGTTTATTTATGTGCCAATATACTGTTTTTATTGAATGTTATAATAATACACAATAGATTAAGAATGATGCAATTATTATTATTATTTGGTTTTATTTGTAATAAATTATATTATATAAACTTGTGGTTTATTATATAGTAGATTAATAATACTTATAATGGATTTATTACTGTAATAAATTGCAAATATTTATATAATAGATAATACATATAAATAATACAAATTATATATATATCTCATTTAAACAAATATAATTATAAATTATATAAATAAAATAAAATTTAAATAAATATATTTATACAACAGAAAATAAATGTAACAGATAGTGATATCATAATAATAACAACAATAATAAAAATGAATATCAATTATTATTTGATTTATATTAAATTCAAAAATTATTTGATTTTATCCACAATAAATAATTATTTGATTTGATTTTGTAATTTATTAAAATACACGTAATAGAATAAAAACAACAATATGTTTTAATTAACACGATTTAAATGTTTTTAAAAATGTAATTCATACATTACGCACTATTAACAACAATTTACCTTTCATGTAGTATAAAGTGTCCCTCAGCATTTTAAAGATGGCCACATACAGCGGATCACTGAATGTCTTGTAGAACAGATTAACTGATGCATTGACCTGTAACAGAGAAAGCAAATGTCCAGAAAGCAACAGACTGTCTTTTGAACAAAACAAAGCAGAAGCATCCAAATCAAAGCAGGTACCTCCAGAACTTCAACCATAGTCTGATCCAGTGTCTTCATAAAGGATTCTGACACAAACTGCTCGACCTATCCAAGAAGAGAAAGGAACCACAAAAATACATCACATAATATACTACAGTAGCGGAAAGCATTGCAGAGCACTGACCATTTGCACAAGCTGCCTCAATAAATCCAGCGGTACATCAAACCCTTTACTGTTGCTGCCCGTGAAGAGCGGCGAGACGGAGAAACTGGAGCTTATGGTGGAGAAGTAGTAGTCGGGGTCCACAGCGCTGCCATCCGGCAGATACGAGCCAGCTGGAACACAAAAAGAAAACCAGGTTAAGACCCATCAAACCTAGACAGCATTTCTGGGCATCAAAGGCTTGTCTAAACATGTCAGCTGCACTAAAAATACTGTCTAGTAAGCAAAACTAATAGCAAAAACGCTATTCTTTTTAAAGTTACCTTCAAAATAAGGAGCAGAAGGGTCAGCAGGAGAACTGGGAGGAAGTCCGGCATGTTCTGGACTGACCTAGAAAACAAAAAGAGGCCATTATTAACAAAATCACAAATTCAACAAATGTTAAATCATATAATCTAGTATTTGATATATACTGTATATATATTATATATATTTTTGTATTTCAATTGTATATGATGCTTTTTTTTTTATCTCACACCTTTAACAACTGCTTAACAGAACTTGCTTTTTTAAAATGTTTTATTACTATTTTTTCCCATCAAAAGTTTGTATGTGATAGAGTATTATTTTACGTTTTAATCATAGGACACTGGTTGGCATGGGTTTCTGCAGGTTTCTGTGAAGGTAAATTTAAGACACAATTTGAGGAATAAATGGAAGGGGATACAAAGAAATTCATCAGAATGAAGTGAGCTTACTATATGATTAAACAAGAACAAGTATCTGCCAATGGGCTCAGAAAAATGACCTTTCCAAAGGGAAAGCAAGTTTATTTTTCTAACCACACTAACAGATATTTTAAGCTTGTTTTACTCATTAGAATTTGTTCAATTTCTAAGAAAATAAGTCTTCATATCTTCTTTTAGCATCTCAAGTAAATGTATCTTTTAGAGATTTGTACTGGAAAACAAGACAAAAATACTGAGGAAGATATTTTTTGCAGTGTATGCAACATGACTTTGAATGAATTTAAAACGTCCTGCTCCGGTTTAATACATTTCTAGGCCTCAGTCTGTGGATGCCTGCATTTCTGATCGCTGCGCTCTCATTTTAAAGATGCGGATGCCCTCTGCTGGTACCTGTTGTGAGATGCTGGAAACGCTGCTGGTTTTACTGCGTAAAGTGTCACTCTGGCAGATGGTGAGGAGCGAGCTGGGTAGAATGGAGCGGAAATCATTAAAGGATCGTCGTCGGGTCACTTCCGCCCCGTCTCCTGCGCCCAAGGGCTGAGGACTGACCCGTGGGAAGAGTTTAGACAGCAGCGGCTCCTCTGTGTTGCAGTAGCGGCCAAACGCTCGCACCACGCCGAGCAGACAGGGCACTGTGTATTTACACAGGTATTCTGGGGAGGAAAATCAGAAGAGAGTATTTTTATTCCACACTAATATTTAAGTCAACCTGAAATCAAAATTTACCCTATTTATTTATTTAGATTCATTTTGACTAACTGCAGCTTGTTGTATTTTGATAAAAAACAATTACATATTCTAAAATATATATTATATTTTCAAATTATATACACTACCAGTCAAAAGTTTGGAATAATTATGAGTTCATAGTGTTTTTGGAAGATGTCTCTTCTGCTCACCAAGGCAGCATTTATTTGATCAAAAATACAGTAAAAACTGTAACTGTTTTCTATTTGAATATACTGTAAAATGTAATTTATTCCTGTGATGCAAAGCTAAATTTTCAGCATTATTGCTCCAGTCTTCAGTGTCACATGATCCTTCAGAAATCATTCTAATATGCTGATTTACTGCTCAATTTATTATTGACTATTATTTATAATAATATAAATTATTTTTATTAATGAAAATATATTCAAATTAATAAACTGTTATAATAAATTGCTATAATATTTCACAACAATTTTTAATGTAAATTTTTTTTTTTTTTTTTACATTTTAAAAATCTGTCCTACCCCAAATATTTGCACAGTACTGTCATTAATTATAAAATGTTAACCAATAATATAATGTTTCAAGATCCAATCGATTCTAGATAGATACAATAAAATGCCATCCTTCATTTTTGATCTGTCTCACATTATGAAAGCTATGAATTTCATATAAACAAGGTATTCAGGATGGGAAGAAAACACTGACCTTTATCTTGGCCTTCGATGTTCTGACAAGTTTCCTGTAGCACCTGCATGAGGTTAATCACAGCCTCCAAAATCTGAAAGAGATTTGAGAGGAAACTAAATACATCAGTGCTGCTCTTTTCCCTGTAGACCTCAGTCAGGGTAGATACACGGCAGAATTAATGTGACATGAGTGAATATGAAGCTGTGAGAGACATTGTATTGTTGTATTCCCAGGTGTCCTTAGCTCAGCTAGTGACATAATACAACCTATCAGCAATTAAACTGCTCTTTTTAAATGCACTAGGACAGCAAAATCAGTAACAGAAACAAGGAACTACACACTCATGACAACAACATGTCTTGGTTGCAGATTCATTCAGATTAGCAAATAAAACTACAGCAAGCAAAGTCATCATGCACACACCTGGATTCGCATGGACTCGTCCATCTGAGCAACGTCTGAGAGCATGGTCACCAAACAGAAGGAGAAGTTCTCCGCAACGGGAAGCGTTTCTGAAACCACAAAGATGAGAGATATGTAAGATCAGGAACAACTGAGAATGCAATTAGGAAATGTGATAAAAAAGACCAAAATATCTTTTTATACCTCGTCCTTTTCTCTCTGAGCTCTCCTCGATCCATTGCACCCTGGGTAATCGCTTCAGCAAACCCAACAAGTACGGGACAATAGCGTCCTTGTGCTGGAGGAGCAAATAAACATTCAATTCAGGACTACAGACCATTATTGCTCATAAACACGATGAATGAATTCACTTTGATTAACATAACACTACTAAACTTAATTAGTTTGATATGTGACCCTGGACCACAATACCAGTCATAAGGGTTGTTGCTGTCATGTTAGGATAGGACAATATTTGACCGAGATACAACTATTTGAAAATCTAGAATTTGAGGGTGCAAAAAATATCTAAATACTGAGAAAATCGCCTTTAAAGTTGTCCAAATGAAGTCCTTAGCAATGCAAATTACTAATCAAAAATTAAGTTTTTATATATTTATGGTAGGAAATTTACAAAATATCTTCATGGAACATGATCTTTACTTAATATCCTAATGATTTTTGGCATAAAAGTATAATCCATAATTTTGACCCATACAATGTTTTATTTGCTATTGCTAAAAATATACCCAAGCGACTTAAAGGAACACTCCACTATTTTTGAAAATAGGCTCATTTTCCAACTCCCCTAGAGTTAAACAGTTGAGTTTTACCGTTTTCGAATCCATTCAGCCGATCTCCGGGTCTGGCGGTAGCACTTTTAGCTTAGCTTAGCATAGATCATTGAATCTGATTAGACCGTTAGCATCTCACTCAAAAATGACCAAAGAGTTTCTATATTTTTCCTGTTTAAAACTTGACTCTTCTGTAGTTACATCGTGTATTAAGACCGACGGAAAATGAAAAGTTGCGATTTTCTAGGCCGATATGGCTAGGAACTATACTCTCATTATAGAACTGCTGCACCCATGGTACGGCAGGCGCAATGATATTACGCAGCGCCTTTAAACTGTCCCTAGCACGCTATATATATATATATATATATATATATATATAAAGACAAAAGCACATAAAATTAATAATAGCTAAATTAAAATGAAAGCTGAAAATATAAAATTTATTTAATTTAATTGAATACAAATTATAATAGCATATAAATAATACTAAAATAACATTGGACACCACTCAATAATACAACAGGTGCACACACATCATAAAAACGTAATGATGCAAGATTACGTACAGAAGTTCACCAATGTGTAAGGAAGTTTATAACATACTTCCCTTTAAAACAGACTATTGATCAAGCCTTTCCTGTTTTCAGGTAAACATGCACATTTCAGAATTATAATTTATTATCATTTTAACCCTTTAACTGTCACTCACAGTTTTTAACATAGACGTGGAAGTGCACTATCCAAACTAAAAAAAATGTATAATTCATTATGTGTAAGGAAGTTTATAACATACTTCCCTTTAAAACAGACTATTGATCAAGCCTTTCCTGTTTTCAGGTAAACATGCACATTTCAGAATTATAATTTATTATCATTTTAACCCTTTAACTGTCACTCACATTTTTTAACATAGACGTGGAAGTGCACTATCCAAACTAAAAAAAATGTATAATTCATGAACGAAAACATTTTGTAACATGATATTGATGTACCATTTTCATGGTAATGCAATGTTTGATTTTAAAATGGGGTTCAAAGGATGAATTTTGAGATTTAAAGTTTTCAATTGATATATCATTTCTGATGATTTCTAACGTGTGATCGAGAAAAAGGCAACGAAGGCGACTTTTTTTTGACAAAGCTCAGAACTCCTGTTATGATGTAGAGTTTTGAGGTGCACTCTTGTCATAAATTAATCTATTACTTTTCCTACATAGATATTTTACCAATGTTTTTGTAAAAATGTATTTAGGAGTCTTAGCCCTCTCCAACGATATATAGTTTGTCATGATTAGATTAGGATTTAATTGTAATATAGTGAAATAAACTTAGGCGTCCCACAGAGGGGACGGGTGACAGTTAAAGGGTTAAATCATTCTTTCAGAAGCAATAAATCAAACTATGTCACGTAGCCAAAAAGGTCCCAGAAAACCAGCATACATAGAGAATCCCACATGCAAAACTGACTTTTAGGACTCCAGCGTGTCGCATACTTGGTTTTAAATGAGAGCACCTTTGCAAAGACTCACTAAGGCTCAGAAAATGTTCTGTTCTCAGAGTCACAATGACTTTTCTATAGAGATCCGCGCTTGAAACACCTGGTTTTTCACGTCCTGTCAGACAGTAATAACAAAACAGCACTGTGATGTGTCAGGGTTAATGCATACTTTACATCTCTGAGCTATACATGAGCACAAAAACACATCAGCCATTTATAAATGTATTCAGAAATACATTTATAAATCAATAAGCAGTTGACCAAATCTGACATGCTGTGTAAATGTGGTTTAATTTGTTTTGAATTATCTAAAAGTACACATTTCACTCACAACAAAAAATATTCTGTATTATGATTAAATTGATAGTTTTATGCTGTCACTGATTATTTCCTATAACTGTATTGTAAGTGTAACGGATCAATAAAGCATTTAAAATAAGCAATCATGTAAGCGATTATTAAATTGAGTTCTAGTTTCAGCGTATTATATTGATGATTAAACGTGCGTATTAATTAATAACGTAAACATCTCTTCAACCCTTAAATTGTGGGTTCATGAAAAAGAGCTAGAAACTAGCAAAGCAATGAGTGTATAAAGCAATGTCAGTCGATTTGAATAGCTGGTCTTTAACATTTATATACACATTATAAATCAATAAGCAGTTGACCAAATCTGACATGCTGTGTAAATGTGGTTTAATTTGTTTTGAATTATCTAAAAGTACACATTTCACTCACAACAAAAAATATTCTGTATTATGATTATTATGATCAAATTGATAGTTTTATGCTGTCACTGATTATTTCCTATAACTGTATTGTAAGTGTAACGGATCAATAAAGCATTTAAAATAAGCAATCATGTAAGCGATTATTAAATTGAGTTCTAGTTTCAGCGTATTATATTGATGATTAAACGTGGGTATTAATTAATAACGTAAACATCTCTTCAACCCTTAAATTGTGGGTTCATGAAAAAGAGCTAGAAACTAGCAAAGCAATGAGTGTATAAAGCAATGTCAGTCGATTTGAATAGCTGGTCTTTAACATTTATATACACGTGTTAATAAAGGTTATATAAATAAGAGAGAACGTCAGATATTTCATTAAACTTGGATTTGTTTTGGTCGTGTTAGCTGTTAGCTTCAGATGCTAATATGAAGTAAAACTCTCACCTTGTCAAGAGGAGCGGGTCGATGAGCAGCCAGAGAACGCGCGAGAGACAGAACAGTATTAAAATAAAAACCCCGCGACGTCCCTCTCGAAGACATTATTCATTTAATATTAAAAACAAACGAATATCTACATCTTAAAACGAAATGTTCGTCAAGTGACAGCAGATGAGAGCTGCGACTACGGAAAGCCCGAGCGCGCAATTTACAAGGTCACCGTATATGTGCTGCAGCATTTACGCGTTCGCTTTTTTGTTTCTCTGCTGAAATTATACTTTAATACACAACAGTACTCCTCAATTATAGAGAAATATAATTCACCCACAGTAAGACTGGCTACAATGTTTTTGATAAATTGAAATAAATTAAATGTTAACTGAAATAAAATTTTAAAAACTACATACACACACACACACACAAAAAACTAATAATGACAAAAACAGTTTTGCAATGTACCCACACAGAGAAATTGTGGTCAGATTGTTTTTAGCGTTCTCATTTTGTAATTGTAAGTGACCTTTCTTTCTGTTAGATAAAGATGTTTTTCTTTGAATTGTTCGATTACAAAATTTCACATAGGCCTACACAAAAAATAAATAAATTAAAACAAAAAACTGGCTCTAAAATTCTCTTTTTTTCATTCAAAGTTGATCTAGACAAGTATATGGATATATACAGTATATATACACACACACTATCTAAAGCTCTGTTAATCCTAAAGCAGTCAAGAATGTATGATGTACATTTATTACTTTTTTAAAACCTGGCAACACATCTGTATCTGTGTATACTTCTTTCTTTCTCTTAAATTATTCTAATTAAATAATAAAAAATAAATAATCTAAATATTTAATTTTTCAATATGTATATGAATGTTCCTATTGTCTGCTCACTTTAAATATATAAAGCCATTTCTTTTAATAATTTCAACCTGAAAATATACACAATTTCTTAAATATTTATTTTTCAAATTTTTTTTTAAATCAATTTAAACATGAAACTAAATATTATTATTAATTTTTCTAATTATTTTTTATTTTATTTATTCTTAATCTCACTTTAAACTTGTTCATTGGTTTGTTTTTTGGATATATTTGATCTTATTTTTAACTATGTACTTTTAGCTGTGAATCATTTATCCTGTTTGTCTATACTTCGTTTTTTTTATTTAGGTCTATCTATATCTATCTATCTATCTATCTATGAATAAATAAAACAGACTCATGTATCCAGTCAGCATAATTTATTCTGAATTAGAACATGAACTGAAGGCACATTCTTTTTCATTAGCATGACAATTAATGCATATTTTAGGTCACACGTTTGGAATGCATTCTGATAACTTTCACAGAAACACAACAATAAAATCCTGTTTATTCCCACTACTGTTTCCTGGCCCAACATGGGTCGCCTATGCCTTACTGTTCACAAAGTCAAATAAGCACTAGATCAAGATTTGACTGCAACACGGTATCGTTTAGACATATGGCATTACAGTATATCTAAAACATGTCTTTTAAGAGTCAAGAACCACAGGCAGTCAAACCTCTTCAAGACTGTACATTCAAGACTGTTACTCTCCCACATGACGTGCGGTGAAGGCAAAATACACGTATTTAGTATTTCTAAACTCTAAAACAGTTGCATATACTACAAGTTAAGCCACTCGAGTTCTCTGGTCTGCTGTGACAAACTAGCCAGAGTTTTGAAAACAATGCTGAAAAGTGAACATCCGCTTTATACAATGTCTGTTACACGTCAGTCTGCAGTATAATCCTAGATTAAATATATGTTGAATATTTCACCTCTGTTGTCAGTTTTGACAGATTTGTGAGAGGTAGGAGAGCAGAAGGAGAAGAGGAAGAGAAAAACA